GGACCGCGGCACAGCAATGCCCTGGAATGCATCACCTGCGGACACCGCGCCGGCACGGCCGAGCGGGCACCGGGGTGCACCCAGGACGGCCGTGCTGGCGCGGGAGGGCTGTGGCTCTGCAGGAGCTTTTCCCAGGGAGCTTTTCCCGGAGCTGGCGCTTCCTGCACCCACTGGCTCCCTGCACCCACAGCCCCGCACACCAGGGCTCTTCCCGCAGCACCCACAGGGTGTCGCTGGGAGAGCAGTTTGCAACGTGCCCTGCAAGGAGCTGTCTCAGCTTCATGCAGGGACCAGCTCCGCAGCTCTGACAGTGCCCGACCCGACACTGGCTCCTCCTTCCAGCCTCACATACCATCCACATCCCGCTCAGGGGCTGGAGGCACCGTCCATGCACTGGACTGGCACGGCCAGAGACTGTATCTTGTGATCCCGGGAGGGATCCCGGGGCTCCAGGCAGCAGCTTGCGGCCGATGGCCCTGTCCTCCCCTCACTGCCTCCTCCTGGCACCCCGGCCCCATTTGCATCCCATTTCCATGTGAATGGAGCAGGTCAAGTTGAAAGTTGAAAGGCGGCTGCCTCAGGGCCGCAGGGAAGGGGCCTCTGCCATGAGGTGAGAGCCCCACAAAGGGGACAGGTCCCCCGGGCACCGCTGCGCCGCCCCCTCCGCCGGCGCAGCCGGCACCGCCGCCATCTGTGGAGAGCCGTGCGCCGCGCCGGGCGCCAGACAAAGCCCCGAGCCGCGGCCGGAGCCTCCATCTGCTCCCGGCCCCGCTCCCAGCTCCCGATTCCTGGCTCCTGGCTCCGACCCGCGGCGTCCCCCTGTGCATCGTCCCCAACGCAGAGCAGGGCACCCTTCCTGCCCTGGCCTGCATCCCCGGGAATCACCCGGCACCAGTGACGGGGCCGAGGATGCTCCGGATGCTCCGCAGCCCTCCGGTGTCACGGAGCTGTGCGGGTGCTAGAGCCTCAGGCTGGGGGAGGCAGAGCCAGTCCCCAACTCCATCCAGGAGGCCAGAGCCACAGCCAGGGAAAATGAGGTCCAAGACCAAGGCCAGGGCTGCCTTGGAGCTCGGTATGGGGTTGGGGGTGGTGGGGCCGGGCTGGTTTGCGGACCTGTCCTGGCGAGAGGCTGGGGTTGAAGCAGGAGGGAGCAGCCTGGATGGCGGAGCAGGGAGCTGGCACCGCTTGGAGCGCCCGTGCTGGCACTATCGGCACCGCCTCCGTAGCCGTCGTGATAAGGTCTCGCTATCTGTGCCACACTGCGCGAGCGGCGCTCGGAGAGGCTGGAACGGGATACGGGATGCATCAAAGGGCCCTGCCGGCCTTGCAGCACCAGGCGCCCAGGCGCGAGCCGGCATTGTGCCGGCGAGGGCTGCTCCGCCGCGCTCCGGAAAAGGCATTTGGGATATTCCGGGTGAGGG